TTGCCCTGACCAGCTGGCTGCTCTCCCAGCCGCCCCTCCCAGGAAACTGTGTCAGTTCTGCAGGGGGAATGGTAGTGGGGTGGGGTCCAAAAATCCTCCCAGGCAGATCTGTGAAAGAAAAGGCCAGTCATTCAGAGGCCCTACCCAGAAGGGAGGAGGAGGGGTGGACTGGGATGAGCACACCAAACAGCACAAGGACTGGTACAGAGGAGTTTCTCAGCCATCCCAGTGGCTCATAGGCAGGAAGGCTGTCAGAAAACTGGGAGAGGCTGGTGCCACCCCATTACTGTCACCAAAAGCAGAAAGTCAGCAACTGGAAAATCTTACATGCATTAGATCTAAATCTAAATCTAAACTTAAGAATGCGTTAGATCTCCCTTGTGTGGCTAACACTAAAACCATTCTTCTATTTATACCCAGCTACTGACAGCCAGTAGGTACACACACACACACACACACCCCTCACACAAAAGCTGTCCTACCTAGGGACATTCTTCTTAGGGAACAAAGCAGTTGCCCCAAATCCCTAATCAACTGGAGCCAGATGGACCTGAGCAATTCTTGGTTCTGCCACTTACTAGCTGTGTGATATTAAGCAAGTTATTCAACCTCTCTGACCCACAGCTTCTCCAATTATAAAATGAGAATAATAATCCTTTCTCCTAAGATTGATGATGATTCAATGAGACACTGCGTGTAGGATCTGGCAGAGTTCCTGGAACACTGTGTACTATCCAGGGCAGCCCTAAACCCTTCCCCAGGAGATCTCAGACACACCTCTCAGGGCTGTGGCTCCTCTGGTGGGTAGGACTTTCTGGACTCCTGGGTCACACTCCTGTTCTGGTCCAGTGTGCTCATTTTATAAAGAGGCATGAGGAGGTTAACTGTCATGTATACAAGTCTGGACTGAATCAACATCTGGGATGTAAGAGATCCTAGGTAGCTGCCAGTGTGGTTTTTTTCTTTGACACCAAATGTCATGTCTTCTCCACCAATTCACCAATACCAACTAGGGTCCAACAGCTCAATTCAGTTCTGACACTAACTCCCCAGGGTTAGCACAGACCCCACAGATCAAGAGCTCAGTCCCACAAGATGGTCCCCACTTCAGGTGCCAGCCCACATAGGGTGCCCAGACTACCCACAGTTCTGCCCAGCCAAATCCAAATTCAGGGGTTTCCACTACACACCCTCAGGTTTGATCATACAAAAGAACAACTCACAGAGCTCAGGAAAGCACTTTACTTACAACTATTACTGGTTTATTGTAAAGGATCCAACCCAAGAACAGCCAAACAGGAGAGATGCGTATGGCAAGGTCTGGGAGAAGGGGAACCGAGCTTGCACACCCTCTCCATCAGGCATGTCACCCTCCAGCCTACGGATGTGTTCACCAACCGAGAAGCTCCCAGAACCCCATCATTTGGAGAGGGGGCTATAGGCTTCTTTACAAAGACTGGTTGATGGGATCATTGACCATTGGTCATTGAACTCAATCTCTAGTTGCTCTCCCCTCCTGGAGCCTGGGAGATAACGGCTGAAACACGGAACCCTCTGACCATGTGTTTGGTTTTTCTGGAAATGAGCTCCCATTCTAAAGTCATCTAGGCTCCCCCCATGAATGATTCCATTAGCATACAGAAGACAGTAAATTCCAAGAATTTTAGGAGTTCTGTGCCAAGAACCAGGGCCAAACAGCACTTTTTTTTGGTTTGGTTTGGTTTGGGGTTTTTTTTTAATGTTTTTATTGAAGTAGAACTGCTATACAATATTATATAAGTTACAGGTGTACAATATAGTGATTCACAATTTTTGAAGGTTCTACCCCATGTATAGTTATGATAAAATATTGGCTATATTCTCCATGTTATACAATATATTCTTGTGTCACATTCATTTTTTTATTATATCACATCTCCCCTCACCTGTGTGACTGCCCTTCACCTAAACCATAGCCTACTCTCTGCCATCACCCATGGGAGCCAACTTCTCATCTTGCCACCAAAAAAAACAAATTTCTTTAAATCAAGCACCGACTTTGTCTCCATCTGAAAGGCCTCCAGCTTCCCCACAGAGTTTGAAACTGGCACACCCAAGTTGGGAGTTGAAGTGTGTTATTCCAGGTCAGCTGATGACTCACAAAGCTGGAACAGCTACTCTCTAAATTAGGGATGAGAGGCAGTGTCCTCAGAGGGAGTGAAAAGGCCCACAGTAAATAAGCACTATTATTAGCACCTTCAAGCCTTGATGGCCCTGAGCTCCTCCCGGCCATCCTGAAGCTCCGGGACACAAATAGACTAGCGTTCTAATTCCTCCTCCTCCTGGAAAGGAAAATACCACATTTCCATTCGTCCAATCTAACAAATATTTATTTAGTGTCTCTGTGATTCAGACCTGCTCAAAGTTCTCTGCAGGACTCAGAGATGAACACGACCAGGTGCCCTTCCCCTGGGACACTCTCATGGGAGAACTGGTCACCCTAGCATTTGTTTCCTGTGACTGTGTAACAAAGTACCACAAGCCTGGTGGCTGGAAACAACAAATGTATTTTCTCACAGTTCTGGAGGCTAGAAGTTCAAAACCCAGGTGTCGGCAAGGCCATGTTGCTTCCGAAGTCTCCAGGCAAGAACCCCTTCCTGCCTCTTTCAGCTTCTGGAGGCTCCTGGTGATCCTTGACTTGTGGCCACAGAACTTCAATCTCTTGCCTCCGTCTTCACAGGACCTTCTTTCAAGGACACTAGTCAATGAATTTAGGGCCCGCCCTAATCCAGCATGACCTCATCTTAACTAATTATACCTGCAAAGACTCCATTTCCAAATACGGTTACATTCTGAGGTTCCAGGTGGACATGTACATGGGGTGTGGGAGAGGACACTGTTCCACCGAGGACACCCTGCAGGAGGAAGGACTGAGAAAGGGGCGTTGATCCTTGCCAGAGGGGAATGAGAAGTGTGCGGGGGAAGTTTCCCCAGAATAGAGACCAGGGGGTGTGGGTCTGAAGGCCGGGGAGCAGCACGGGCAAGAGCACAGGTCAGCAAGGAGCAGTCCTGAGGCCAGACTCAGGAGCCAGGAGGGAAAAGACAGGGATGAATCTGGGAATGTTCAAGATACCAAATCCCAGAGGGCCTCGTATTGTAGCAAGGAGCCAGCTTTCCATTCCAGACAATAGGGAGTTTTTGTCCACCTTGCTCAGTGGTGGACCCTTCTCCCCTACAAGATCCCTTTCAGTTGTTGTTCAGGGGAACCCCTCCCCGGGCTCCACAGAAGCAGCTGGATCTGTTCTCCCCAGACCCCTTCTGCCACATCCACTACCTCCCAAAACATTCCACACAATAACACCTGGTGCCCTGGCTGGTCCCCTACTACATTGTGAGCTATTTGAGGAAGAACCACGTCTTACTCAGTTTTACAGATCTGCAGCTGAGCACAGGTTGGCACAAAACATGTGCAAGTACTTACAAATGTCTAAGGAGCTGGCTGAGCGGTCAGCCAGAGAGTTACAGCAGGGGAGTGACTTTCACATAGTTGGAACCAATACTCACAGCTCCTGAGGCATCCAAAGGGGCTCCTCCTAAAGCCAGGTTCCGAGGTAGGAACGTTCTCTACAGGTGACTTGAGTGCAAAACAGAGCTGAACTTCAGCATCCTACCAGGAAAGCTTGTCTCTCCGACACTCCCCGCTCCGTGAGATCCGTGTTTCGTGACCTCATTTCTGATACTGGCCCTCCCCAAGTGCGGACTTGCACTAAGCTGTGCCTTTCGGGGTTTCCCTAGGCGGCCGCGCTCGTTCATATCTACACCGACGGGTCTGTGTTGGTCACACATGGAGGCAACGAACTGGGACAAGGTATTCACACCAAAATGCTACAGGTGAGAGAAACAAAATTCACCTCTCTATCCACTGATGACATGGTAAACATCTGGCACCAATTTTACAGTAGATGATGGCTCCCTGTATTCAAACCCTAAGAACTTGCCGATTTAGTTGAAAAACGTCTTACATGTCAAACAGAATAGCTGAGGTGGTGGAAATCTCACACATGTGCAGATCCTCCCAGAGCCTGGCCAGGGTTTATGGGTGGAGGAGGCTGTTAGTGAAAACATCACTGATGGGCCCCCACCCCCACCCGGAGCACTGCGGTGGGTGCTCTGTGAAGGCTTACCTAGAGCAGGAGTTTCTCAACTTTTTTATTTTTGAGACCAATATGTGTAATTTTTAAAGTATGGGCAACAATATTAGGGGGCTAATGTATTGTTCTAACCTGCAGTGATGAGAATTTCATCAACTGTCATCATCCTATGATTTTTAAAGGCTATTTTAACACACACACATATATATACTCCAAGCAGGAAGAGATAATCCCGGGAGGAAAAAGAGTAATCCTTTAAATTGAGTAAATTTAACTTTAGGACTAATTTACTAAGTTGTTACAGCGCACATCTACAGCTTTTGACTATCCAGTCTCTCAGCTCCTTTGGAATACACCTTCCACACTCCATATAGTTCTGAAGAACTCTTCAACTCTGATACTTTTTAACCTCATCTCCCTTCTTGCCCCAACACCTGCCACAGGTACAGGCATAGGACCTCAGTCTGGCCAGTGATGGTTCTTGAACCCCACTGCTGTGGGGATTGGTCCAGGAAGAAGACCATGGCCAACCAAGGCCAGTCAGCGTCCTTTCCTGGAACTGATACATAGATGCTAGGAGAAAGGAACTATTTTCCCTTTGTGGTTGTTTAGCTACTATGCTATAGGCTACAAGTTGTCAGAGGCAATTCTGTGCCATGGATGAAGCCTGTCTACCATTGGAAATGACACGGCCATTGCAGAATGAAGCAAATGTGAGAGGTGGTGAGAGCCCAGATGAGACCACAAAAGCCCCTAGATACAGACATACATAACACTAGCTCCTCCATCCTTCCCAGTTAGGTGGGCCAGTAAATTCCTTTTGGATCGTCATCACCAAGAACTATTCAAATTGTCCTTTTTTTTTTTTCATTTTGCATCTTTCTGGGGAAACTTGATCACTGAACAGCATTCATCTGAAGACTGGCATTTGGGAACAGGTACATACCTGCAGACATCTACAGAAAGTGTCTCTGCAAAAACCAAAAGACATCAGCAGCAAAAATAATGCTTTTTTTCTTTTCTTTCCTCCCCTCACTTTCTTTCTTTTTCATTTCTTCTCGATCAAATATCTTAATTTCCGCATAAGTCTGCTAGAGAAACTGGAAGGAAAAAAGCAGAAAAGAAAAAAATGAACAGCACTTACTAAAGGAGTACAAGCAAGTGGGAACAAATAGAAGAAAAGAGGGAGCTCAAGTTAAGGTGGGAATGAGGGCAAGAAAGAAGACAGGCCCTCAGAGTCACTCCAAGATCGTCAGATACCAACACCAGCAGATTTAAGACCAGACTCTGAGTCAGTCCATCTAATTTCTGTCTCTCTTCCTGCCACTACCACCAAGTAATCTCAACTTGGCCTACTCTCTACACCTGTAAATTTATAGAAAAAGGAAATCCTTAACATCCTAAACGCAATCAATTTGAATGGAAGAACTACTGTGAAATATTACCAAGAAAATACTTGAAAAATCAGCATGAGGCCCTACTAAAAAGTGGTTTTGATAATTATGACACACTATCTTAAGTTTTAAAGGATACTGTGGATATAATTTTAAAAATAGTCATTTCTTAACTAAGAAAAATAATGACTCAAATCTTCACAGAAGTCCTTACCAGACTTGAAATTATTTCTTTTTCCATAGGTGGCCAGCCGTGAATTAAAAATACCCATGTCCTACATGCACATCTGTGAAACCAGTACAGCCACGGTGCCTAACACAATTGCCACAGCAGCCTCCGTTGGCTCAGACGTCAATGGCAGAGCCGTGCAGGTACCTCCTCCTGGTTGTCCTTCGCTGGCTGCTTTCTCTACATCTCTGGTTTTCTTTGCTGGATTCAGGCACAGTGGTTGGCTTCAGAGAAGTCATCTGTGTCATTGAACATAGGCCTGGGATAACCAAATGGTCAGAAGAGTATGTCTGTTGGAATAGGCTAAACTGGGGTGACAAATAGACCCAGAATATAATGGCTTGAACGCAACAGAAGTTCTTTCTTGCACACATAACAGTCCAGAGGACATGTTCGGTTGTCAGAGCACCCAGGTTGATAGCGATTCCTCCATCTTCAACGTGTGGCTTTCAAGGTTGTCCTGAGCATCATCGTGTCAGTGACCCAGAGAAGGGAAAGAGCATGGCGGCCAGACCTGGGAGGGATGCAGGTCACCTCCCGTCATCATCCATCAGCAGAACCAGTCTCAGGCCACATCCAACCGCAGGGCAAACTGGAAAAAATGTAGAACAGTGGGAAACCATAGGCCCAGATACTATGGAAGGAAGGGAGAATGAATTTTGGTAAACAGGCAGTCTCTGTCCCTGGGAGACACAGAAAGAAGAAATTTAGGTACCAAGTAATGCAAACTGTGCAAGTTTCCCATAACACAAACAAGTTCTTGCAGGCAGGTAAGCAGGCAGAACCCCAGCCAAGTAGATATGGTGCAATTAAAGTGTCTACATCAGTGGAGTTCCACCAGAGTATTCATCTTTTTTCTTGGTACTTATTCTCTAACTGATGTCTTTAAAAAGCTGCTAAATTTTCATTTCTTCAGAATAAAACCATGACTTCATACGCCTTAATTCAAAGATCTGACTGCATGTACTTTTGAAGCAATCAGTATCTATTTGTCATGTTTCTGTTATATAAACTGTCCACTTTTTCCACTGAGACATTGTGGGGACATACTCCCTCACTCCCAGGACACTGCATTTATGCTACCAATAGGAACCATTTTCAAATCCATCTTATCTTTGCGGGGGGACACCTCTTAGAGGCTCATAAAACAGAGACTCTTTTTACTCAGAACCAATGTGTAGGGAACCTCAAATTCAAGAGATCAAATTTTAGGTAGAATCAAACGCAAGCTCAGTGTGTATGGGGGTTGTCAGCCCAGACTAGGCATTAATCCATCTTCTAGGGTTTTAAGTGTCTGTATTAAGGATCAGAAATGTTGTGGATCTAGATTATTACCCCAAAATTTTTTTAATAATTTTCTCACTTCACACCCAAAGCCAAGGCCTTCACTGCAGTAGTTTGATGGTGAATGGATGAACAGGCAAAAGGATTAAGTGTTGAACAGTATTTCACACCCAGAGGGGTCCTGGCATGTCATTGTTCCAAATTGGAGAGCACAAAGTTGAATGAAAATGGGATGTTTTGTTCAGTTTCTATTAATGGCTGGAAAATACAAAAGAAGGTGTAAATCCAAATAATGGAGAAAAAGAGAAGTAATTAAGAATATGAATATTCTTAGCAAGAGGATCTGAGAATAGAAATTCAGCTGAGCCCATATTTTCACAGGAAATGAACACAGAACGGGAAACACCGTCTGTAACTAATACTCTTCTCAAGGTCAGGGCTGTGTTGGTGTCGCCTCTGAGTTCCCAGTGTGTCAGTATCAAGCAACCCATAAGCATTCACTGACCCGATCAATTATCAACTAATAGTCTTCCACACAAATCCTAACCAGTGGGCTCTTCTCTAATGAGGATTCACTTCTTTACTCCCTCAAGAATGCTTGTCAGATTCTTCTGAAACGCCTGGAGCCCATCATTAAGAAAAATCCAGAAGGTACCTGGGAAGACTGGGTAAGTGTACCACTCTGTCTGTTGCTTCAAATGAGAAAATGATCCAAACCAGTGCTGAGAGTGCCATGGGAGGGTACAGCCACCCTGCATAGGGTCTCTGTGAAAGGGCAGGATCACCAGGTTGAGATGGCTGCTCCATGATATATCTCAGGTATGAGCGGAGAGAGAGCACAGGGAACAGCATCACTGAGAGGGAACAGAAGTGGATAAAGAATTACCAGAGGCCTTACCCTTTCTGCCTTAACAAGAAAGAAAAGGAAAAGACTGAGCTTTCCTAAGCCACAAACACACGCACACAAATTGAGGTTTTGAGTAGAGAGGAAGAAAACTAAAAGGCCTGATTGCTATTCAGTGTGTCTCAAGGGAAATGACTTGTTTAGTCCAACTTTGCTATGTCCTATGTCTTATTTATTAGGAAATTATCTCATACTTGCACACATACTTACCAGAGTTCTAACACTTAAAAATAAAGTTCCAAATACCTTGTGAATTAGCCCCCACATCATGGATATGTAGCAAGATTCTATTTTATTTACTTAATTTCGATTTATGAACTCAATCAGAAGGTAATTGTTAGTGTACCAGCTGAGGAGAAGAAAATATTAGGATGGGTTCGATTATTGGTAACGTAACGCCAGCAACAATTGTCATATGTCAATTTTGATATATAAATTACTTTCATTTTCACCTATCAGATGGTATGTTTATTTTATTCTGATTAAATATGCCCATTCTGCAGATAGAAGCTGCTTTTGAACAAAGAATCAGTCTTTCAGCCACTGGATACTTCAGGTAAAAATTACAATAATATCTTGACTTGGCTTTGAAAATATGAGGCAATCCCATCACCCTGAGCCTCAGTTCCCTCATTTGTACAAGTTTTTATTATGGGATCCCTAAGGTCCCTTCTGGACCCCAGATTCTATGACTTAACCTAAGCCTTTGAGCTATGTCCAAAGAAAGATTAAATAATAAAAATATCCCCATTTAAAAAATCCAACATGATTTACAGTATCTAATGATTATTAACTATTCTTTATTGTGAGTAATAAGATTATCAATAGAAATAGAAATAGAATATCAATAGAAATAGAAAGAAAACTTGCAACTCAATTTTACAAGTCTCCCTCCCTTTACCATAAAACCTCTCTGTTTTGAAGTTCCTTGCTGGGAGGGATCAGATGGCCATCACCAGTTATCATTTGTGTGGTGCAGCCTTCCCTGGCAGTGGGGGGCCCCAGTAGATGCATGTTAATAGAATGCAGGAAGCATATGACATTAGTTTTACGGTCTAATACAACAATTCACTAAACTATACACACACACATACACATACACAAAGAGTAAAGCAAATCTTCATAAGAAAGGAGATAATGGTCAGCCCAGTGTCCTGCACATAATGAGTTCCAAATTCCTGAGTTCAGTTATCCAAGAAGAGGTCAAATCTGCCCTCTAGTAAAGTCCATCTTCACTAATAACTGCATGGAATTACTGGCCCTTTTCCACCAGCTCTGAATTACCATCAGTCCCCTATGAGTTTGGTTTGCACAATCTAAGGGGTCCTTCTACGACCCCTAACAAAAAATCGATTGAGGATTTCAACGTGCAGATCTAAAGCTCAAACCTTAAACCCCCAAGACACAGACACCATGTGAAGTCCGGACCAAAAGAGTGTTGGCTTCTCTCTTTTTGGCATCCTAACTGCAGCACCAAAGCATCCTCCTTAAAATGCAGGCAAACATCAGTGTTGCTATAACTAGCTAGACTGTAAATGCAGGTAGCAGCTTACATGAGCTTAAAAGGCAGTTGCAATGGATATCAATCAGATGAAATGCTATCCTTAAAACTTTGGTAACATTTAAAACAAATCAACATAATTTGCACCCCCATGCCAAGCTAAAAGCCTCTATTTCTTCCATCAGGGGCTACAAGGCCTTCATGGACTGGGAGAAGGGGGAAGGAGACCCCTTTCCCTACTATGTCTATGGAGCAGCCTGTTCTGAGGTTGAAATTGACTGCCTGACAGGAGCTCACAAGGTGAGTCAAACGTAACTGTCCTCCCGACAAGTTAAAACAACAGCAAAATTGTGTTTACATTAATAGCCCAATTTCATCATGTAATACTTGTACAATAAGAACAAGATTCTTTCAATTCCGTGGGATTGTCTAGTGATCCTGCTTTAGCCTGAATTTCCACTTAAAAAGAAGGAGTCAAGAAGGAGTTGCTTATGACAGCCGAAAATGCATTACACTTTTAATTCCATTTCAGACAAAATTATTTTCCAAAGTTTCTTTTCCTAAAAAAGAGTTCCATTCCTAAAGGAAGGTCAATATATGTATCAGACTAGGTAATTTAGTAAATTGTTTTGAGTAAGCATTTTGAAAGCATATAGCAATGTAATACATTCTGAAAGTCAATTATTCCAAGGGTACCCTGGTCATAAAGAAATAAGTTGGAGGGGAGGGAAGGGCAGGTAGTTAAATTAATTTTTGTCTTTGCTATTTAACTAAGCATCCATGAAACCACCTATTAGAGACCAGGAGTCATATTTAACCAAAAGCCAATAACTTCCACCATAAAGGATGAACCCTAGGTTCCATTCTGGAAACAGAGAGATTACAGAAACCTTAAGCAGACTATAGTATAATCCAAAGTGTAAGGAATTTTACAGGGTGGTCCAATGACACATCTGCATTCCATACACAAATTATTCCAACAGCATCTTGAACCATCTTGCCCCAAAATAGAAGTGGTCGGTTCGTGTAAAATAGAAAGGACTTTGCAAATATTGACTGATACATTTTATCAAAATATCTTTTATTGCCCCATTGTTGGTTACCTTGTCCACCACTTAAATATTATATAAATAAGAAAATATACAGTAAATGAAGGGATATCTGGAGAGCATTCCAGTTTATCCTTAGGACACATTCATATTATGTCTCCATTTTCATTCTAAATCATCATGAAGAAGCAAACTCATGAAATTAGGACCACAGATTACACACATGATTATTTTAAAACTGTGTTTCTAAGTGTTTTCCACATCATGGCACACATAGACAATGATAATATTTGCATAACACACTGTTGCAAACAAGGAAGCCATGGTGGCAGGTGACCAGCTTGGAGGTCCTGCCCCAGGCCCCCTCAAAGCCAAGGGTCAGTGTCTCGGCACCCCTCTACCCCATTCAAGGCTCCAGACTGGGTGGGAAGCTGTTTTTAGAAATCAGCTGGTTGCCTGATCCTCCACCCTAAAGGTGGTGTTGCCAGATTTAGCAAGTAAAATAATAGGACTGCTAGTTAAATTTGAATTTCAGATAAATAACAAATAATTTTCTGGTATAAATATGCTCCGTGCAATATTTGGGACATATGTATTTTATCTAGCAATTTCACCTGAGGATTTGGTGTAAATCCTTGAAGAGCACCTCACTGGAATCTTCCATAATTGGGGTACAAGAAAAGTTAAGGTTTAGTCTTCCCTCTTCCTTCCTTATTATAGCTTAAGGTTCAGTCATTTCAGTATCACTTTGGTCCCTTGAAATTGTTTTTCCCTTGAAGAGGTAAAACTTCTTTTAATCAAAGAGGAACCAGAAAAATTAAATGACAGGCCTCATGCTGATGGCTATTTGTGGCTGGTGAACTAAAATATCTGAAGATTCAGTTAGTGTACAGCCATCTCTTCCTATTGTCCAATGTATCAGGTTTCAAGATGGAAGTAAACTGAAAGCCCACTGAGTTGTGTCTAATGTCCTGCCCTATCCAAGTTGAAAATGGATGGGCGAGTCCTAATGCCCATAGTAGGTTGTGTGAGTCAAAAGAGAATTTCTCATCCAAAGGGCTAGAAAGAAATGAGGAGCCCAGGTATTAGTCCTACACAGGGAATGACAATGTGATCAGAACAAGTACTGGACATGGGGGCAGAAGGGAAGCCCGGAGACATTCCTGCGCTAGACCACAGGCACTAAGGCTTTCTGTGGCTCCTTCACAACCTGCATGCACATAGCCTGTGACACAACAGAAGGGCCAGATTGATAAGTGTGATGCTTCTCAGGGAAGGAAGTAAACTGGTATCAATATTCACCCTTAATACACCCAAGATCTTGTAAATCCCCAAATTTATACATGCCACTGTGGCTACATAATTTCCTCAGTAAAACAACAATAATACCACCTCCAGTGAACCATTATGAGGGCTAGATGAGCTCAAAATTATATCAGAACAGCAAATCCTGGTTGAGAATCAGGTGAACAATCAGGCTCAATTATTTACTAAGTGACACTCAAACACACCATCGTGCCATGGACTTTGGAGTCACTTACGAGAAATCAAAACCGTGAATGCAAAAGATCATCTGGGGTCATCAACAGTCCTGGTACTGAATTTGAAGAGCTTAGCTTACCACCCCTAACGGGGTTCAGTACAGTGCTAATTAACTAGCAGGAGTTCTGGAATAAACCAGGGCCATTTGAATGAACCTTAAAATAATATTTCTAATTCAAGTTTTTATGGTCAGGTAATTTTCATTTTTGGCAGAAAGTCAGAACGGACATCGTCATGGATGCGTGTTGCAGTCTAAATCCGGCCATTGACATTGGGCAGGTAGGTGCTGTCCCACCTAGACGGATGTCACTTTCTGAAAGTCACTGCCAGGTAGGTAAAGTTTTTCTAAAAAGCACACGATATCACAGAGCTTGACATTTTCCCCCTTCAGATTGAAGGTGCGTTTATTCAGGGAATGGGCCTTTATACCACTGAAGAGCTGAAATATTCCCCCGAAGGTGTCCTATACTCTCGGGGCCCAGATGAGTACAAAATTCCAACCATCACCGATGTCCCAGAAGAATTTAATGTCTCCTTGTTGCCGTCATCACAAACCCCACTAAGCATCTATTCATCCAAGGTAAGCATCAAAACCTACTACTGTGCAACATGATGGATCAGGTATCATGGTAAATGAACACCAGTAGACAAAATGAAAAATAAGGGTCAACCATTACCAGGACCCAATTATAGACTGTTAAAGTTTGGAACCGAATCACCTACAGAAAAGTGCAATTCAGAGAAGGTAAATGATCCCCACCCCCATGGCAATTCTGGGACCCAGGGTTTTACACCGAAAACTCTAGAATTCAGCAGGCAGCTTTGATTTGATAACACTTTCACTTAAGACACTGTCACTG